AAAGAAGACTGTGATCATTTGATTTAGTCTTATTTAATGTGTTGGAGTTAACTTTTCAGTCTTTTCACTCTTTAGAAGAAAAGGTTCTATCAGCGCTGCATATTTGGAACCCCTAAAAGGTTCAGATCTCTTTTTAAGGGTCACATAAGATTCCTTTAGGTTCCTTTGTAACCAGGAAAAAGGTTCTATGGAACCTTTTGGGTTCATTCATTATCATTTGTTTTGTCCTTTCCGATTAAATATTTCATATTATTGACAACATCAAGGCCCTAAAATCTATTTATGAATGCATGTGTATGATCACAAAGTTCAAGATATGGGGTTATAAAATATTATTTATATAATTTTATGTAGTTAATCAATATCACATGACGAGTGCATTTCAGTTTTTCTAAAATGTGATATTAAGTTACTACAACAGTTTAATAAACAATAATTTAATTACAACTACAAAATGTTGCAGAATAATGTAATATATGAATTAATAACAACCTTTGTGTCAAAAGGGTTCTTTCTTGTCATTATAGAACCTTTTTAGCATAAAAGGTTCTTTGGAGTTGAGTAAAGAATGAACCCTTTTTTTCTAACAGTGTGTGAACAGCCATCTCTGTTATTGTGGAGGGTCTTGTTTTCACTTTTGCTTGATATCTTTTATTATTCTTCTTATAATTATTATGCACATGTAGATTAAATTATTATTTATTATAAACATTTTCTAGGTTGACTTACAGGTCTCGTGGCTGTGCCATGAGGTCTATTGGCTGATGCTGACGTGGGCTGTGACGACACACGGTGGGGTTAATTTAAATAGGGTTCGGGAGAAAAGAACCCGATTAAATTAGTCTGGGGGCAAACAAAGAGAAAGAGAGACACATTAAAAGGCGGATGCTGGAGAAGAGTTCACACACGAAACTTTAGCAAGACCGTTCAGTGTGGAAACTTTCAACACAGAAAACAAGTGAGTTAAATCTGCTCTTTTCACAGCAACAGTTGTTATGTGACCAGTAAGTAGACTTTCTATTGTATTCGCTAAACTTCTTGAAAAGTTATAAAATGAAAGAAATTGCTTAGATGGATTTTTCTCTCACGCTATCTACAATGATAACATATTTTTAAAACGAACAACGTGTTTTTTTGAAGGATTCTTTGTAAATGTTTGGTGGCTATTAAACGTTTAGAGAAGAACGTTTAGATCTAGGTAAATACCCAGTATGAAATGAATGAAATTATTTGATACTGTTGTTCATTTGGTATTAAGAGTTGTTGTTTCCCATCAATAAACTAAAATAGCAGCCGTTCTGAAGTGCGCAAACAGTTAGGCTCGGTCTGTGTCGGGCGCTGTTGCATTCATTTCTTGTAGGGAGGATTGCAAATGAGTAGGAGAACATCAGTTTAACCAAGTAGAAATGATATATCACTTTCCTACATGACCACCTAGACCAGCCTCCTCCGTGCGAAAGTGTTGTTCGTGTCTGCGTGAAAATATAAGGGCTTTACGGAAAAAAATTTTTTTTGAGCTTCTAAGGTATCATTTTACGTTTTGTTTTGGCTATAACTTTTTTTGCGATCATGTTTGAATGACTGGTATGGTGCAGCAGGGATTCTACTTTAATTTGACACACTTATTGTATTTTAAAAATAACCATAGTAAATTAATGTACAAAATATTTGCAATATCTATGGTATAAAACTGCATTTTGGGGAATAATTAGCCACCTTAGCCAGTTTCTGTGTGGATTGGCAGTTTATTGGGGCAAAAAAAAAGTATTTACATAAAGCATGTTATAGTCTGCTAACCCAAAGTGTTTCAGATGTGTGTGTGTGTGTTAGGGATCATTGTGCATTTAATGCTCTTAGTTTCATTCACTCCCTCTCTCCTCTTGAATGAAGTGATTAAAGTGAGCGTGGTCAAAGGGTGCAGAGGAGAAAGGAAGAGGACCCGCGCTCCATCTTTTCTTCTCTCGCTCTTTCAAGGAACCTTTTACCTGACCTGCATTCTGACCTGCCCCCTTTTCATTTATCTCTTTAGACATTTTTCAGGGCCTTTTCGTCCTAGAGTGGGATTTAGAAAGTGCAAAATAAAAAGGCACTTTTATTGAAGGGATTACACATTTAGAGGTATACTTCACAGCACTTCAGCAAAGTTGAAAAACATTGAACCTTTTGGTCTCTGCCTTGATTTGATGTGAGTTTATGACTGACAGAGAGAGACTATTTGGGTCAAAACACTGTTATCAGGTCAAATCAAATTAGAAATATATAAAGTGAGAGAAATTTGATAAGCACAAGAGTATATTACAATATACTTGGTATATTTACATTACAATAGAGGAGAAATGGAGTATGTTTCAGAGTGAGATTACAAAGACCTCTTGCCCTCCGCATAGTAGTGACATGCTTTTAAGCCTAATGTCTCAGTCTCAAGCTCTGGATATATGAGTTTATATCCTCAGGGATGTAATTACATGTTTTGTTTTTGTTTTTTTAACTCTGAGCTCTCAGATTCACAGCCCTCTAGCGCTATGCTGGTCACAGTTTCTGTCAGAAAGCATTTGGTGTAACACTTACACAAACCAGACCAGCTCTTTAAAGAGTGTGTTTGTGTGTGTGTGTGTGTGTGTGTGTGTGTGGACACCCATCAGAAAGAATAATGGGAGACTCAGAGTGATTTATGACTCCCAGCCTCAGACCTGTGTTTGAGTAAATCTTGTGCTGAGGTGAACTTAAACAGCTGTTTTTGGTTTGAACACTGTCTCCAGTCGTGTCTCTCCTCCCCTGTGTCTGTCTCTCTGTGGTTTAGATGACTGATAAAGCCAATGCTGACTTGAACTCCCTCTGCACTGTCTCTGATGACTAACGCTCAACACCAGCTTAGCCTTAAGGGCCTGCTTTGCTTCAGACTTAATGAAAGCACCTCCACTAAATAGAGTCTTTACAAAAATGTGCAGAGCTTGTAATAGAATTTAAGAGTTGCTGAAAGGAGAGACTCCAAATGGAAATCTGTAATTGAAAAGCAGCGCTGATAAGCGTGAAACTGTGCCATGTGTCTAACTATGAGTGAAGTGGGTCAGAGCTTTGTGTTGTTTTCTCTGCTATGGAAATGAGTTTGAAGTCCAGCTGGTTGTGCTGCAAGGGACTCACACACTTGAACGCTGGCTGCAGGGACGTGCTGAAAAGATGTGAAGGGAGGAGAGAGGACCAGAGGTGGAGAGAGAAGAGAAACCGCGTGTGTGTCCAGCGGTCCCGCATTCCTCTGCGCTTGTGATAATGGAAGCCCCATGGCGTATGATGAGTGAGAAAGGCCCTCAAAGAGTATGTTTCTGTAAGAGGAATGGGGCTTTTAAGGGGTTTTCTTCCCTCAGAGTGTATGAGATGTGTGTGTGTGTGTGTGTCTGGACCCAGCGGGTCAGAACAGCATCGTTAGGCAGTCTGTCCCCCCATCACACACACACACACACGGATCACACAAAGAAGACTGCCTGATGAGAGGTTTTGGAGAAAGGTCAGAGAAAAAAAAGGTAAAGAGGGGGAAATTTTGGACAGGGAGAGGGGGTGAAGACATTTTTGGGCCAGGAAAATGGGGGTTGGGGTGCTCGAGATTTGTGTTTTTCTGAGAGAGGTTAGTCACGCTCCGCTGAGCGGCTGACACTTAATTACTGTTTGGAGGGAGTTGCAGGATTTACTGGGTCAACAGAATATTTTATAAACGGCTTTAGAGAATGCTTCTCTAAAGCCGTTTATAAAATATGCCTGAGAGTGAGAGATGGAGGGGGAAAAAACAGGTAGAAGATTTTTTACTGCCTCTGCTTATGGTGACCTATAACGGCCTGGCGCCTGAGTGATGCGGGCCAGCGTTTGTTCTGGGATGGGAGTTGGAGTGGGAAGTTATGGCCCAGAGATAGTGAGAGTCCAGAATATTAAATTCAAACACAATGGGAACAAGAGTAGCTGGGAAACATGTGACCTGATGGGCCATCCAGAGTGAAATGGCCAACGTGCGCGAGCGGACAGACCAAGAGACGCATCGACTACAGTGAAGAGAACGAGAGATTTGTTTGGACCTAATAGATGCTTAATTATCCTCAAAGACGGTACAATTCTGCTTTTCATCAGTCTAGCTCCTTCTGGCTGCTTTGAGGAGTCTGTAATTGCGTCTTACAGAGACCATCCTCTCTTTCAACAGGAGATCAGCTTTTGTTACCGGTAATTGCTTTTCCTGCTAACAGAACTCTGAACCAGGGATGTCGTCTTATTGACAAAAAAGTCCCACACTGACAATGGTGCCGAGTTGTTAGTAAATGTGTCTGTGGGAAGCTGGCCGATGTGTGAATGTGAGTTCTATAATCTGTGTGGGTCCATATGAGTGTACGTCTCTGCGTGAGCTCCTCTTGCCTTCACATCCACAGAGCGTTCCGGAAGAATGGCGTCCCGCGGCGATGATCCCATTCTCTTCAGACAATACGCTCCTACTATCTCACAGCACCCGGTCGAATCATTGCCATGGAGATCACAAGCAGAGGCTAAAGAGCGCACTCACACAGCCAGAGTCACAAACTCAAAACCCATATAAGCAGATCTGTGAACATGGAGCAAACCTCTTTTGAGATGATCCACACAAATAAACGCCTGATTGAAAAAAAAATCAAAACTATTTACCTGCCATTTGCAGTGATTGCGGAAATAAACACTGTGAGTGCTGTGGGGTCCATGTTTTTACAGTTTTCTAGTCTCAAAGCTGACATGTTGAGAAGCAGAAGAATGCATTTTTTTATACAAACAGACACAGATGTGTGGACTGTGAGTTTCTGGATCTAGAAACCAGCAGAAAAGGACATGTTCAAACACTCTCTTCCTCTCGAGTCTGAATGGATGTTAGTCAGGGCTGGATGTTTATGTTTATGATGATTCACACAGCAACAAGCTAGTACAGTGGTGTGGTGCCTTCGGTGGCAAGAACGTCTTTATCATAATTCCCCCCCCAAAAAAAAAATGATTCTGTATTCTCCCCTTTCACTAGCTCTTACATCATACTCCTGTGTGATGTGTTTGTGGGTGTCTGGAGAAATGTAAGCGCTGTTGTTTCATTATATAATCTGGTGGCAGTGATAGCCGAGAATCATAGTCCTTCAGCACTATGACCTTTTGTGTTTGTGACATTTTAATACCAGTCTGTTGAATTCAGTCAGTGAAGCTCTAATTAATCATTCTGAATGATCATCCTTATCAGCTTCATCCATTCGTCTCTAATTGGGAATTTGAAACATTAAAAGGGCAAAGTAACGTCTCAGCATAGATGGCTCGATTACTGTCCTGCCCTTTGATTATGACAGAAATTGTTCATTTCCTGAAAACTGTAATTTTGCTCTGCAGCAGCTGATTAATCTGTTTTGCAGAATGCGTGGCCTGTTTTCCACCCTCATCGTGGTGCTGGTGGCCTTAATGATCGTGACTACAGAGGCTGGGAAAAACAAGAAAGGTATCAAACACTGACGAGACCATCTTTCTCCTTTCTTCCATTAATTCAGGTCTCATACATAATTTCACCCTGTGATCTGTCACTTTGAACCTTAGACAATAGTTTGTGTGATACTCACCTGAACGGAAGGTGAAGGTAATCACATGAAGTAACTGTGGTGTCCTATGTGTCATGTGATAGAGAAGAATAAGGGAGGTAAGGGTGCGGCGGACTGTGCGGAGTGGCGCTATGGCACCTGCGTGGCCAAATAACGGGGACTGTGGACCAGGAGTGAGAGAAGGCACCTGTAACGAGCAGACCAAAAAAGTCAAATGCAGAGTTCCCTGCAACTGGAAGAAAGACTTTGGAGGTCAGTGAAACTGTGCTAAATCAGCTGAAATTAGCCTACCTTCATGTTTAGCCTTGTTTTTCATGCTGCTGTGCATCTGTGCATTTCATATGATCTTACTTTATTGGTTCTAATTTCATGCAGCTGACTGCAAGTATAAGTTTGGTAACTGGGGCGAGTGTGACTCTGCCACGAGCTTAAAGAGCCGCACCGGCACTCTACAAAAGGCTCTCTTCAATGTCGACTGTCAGCAAACCATCTCTGTGTCCAAACCCTGCGCCACCAAGGTCAAAAACAAACCCAAAGGTACATCCTCAACCCCAAACCCAAAACTGACAGCCAATGAGCATGTTCCTGATTTTGCCCAGTTAGACGCATTCCTGGGTCAACATATTTTGTTGATCCTGGAGCAACATTCTTGTCTGTAATTTGAATCCTAGCCATCCCCCTAAACCTAACCCACCCATAAATTATTCCTAAATCAGAGGGAAATAATACGTGAATAACACCTAACCCTACCATTGTTGGTAGCCTGAACTTGACATAAACTGTAAACTTTTGAATGTTGATCCAGGAACATGTTGCACTTGGTGAAATCAGGTTCTGCATTCAAGGATGAATGTTTTCTGTTAAAATCAAATGTTAGTGACTCAACAGGTGTTATATTGCAACCAGTAGTTTGGTTTTGGTTTGGTTTGGTTTGGCTGAATGGAGTCAGTAAGGCATGTAATCTGCTCTGGTTGTATAATCTTGGCCTGTTGGCTGTGGTGGGTGTCTGAGTGGGATTCTGAAATCAATAATGAACCTCTGCTCATACATAAGAGGCAGATGTCTAAGTCAGTCCTTTTAAAGCATGCGTTTGTGGTTAATGTGCTTATCTGAATGTGGATGTGAGCAATAATACAGTAGCATTATTTTTATAAGAGCATATGCATTTCCTAACCAGCATGAGGGAGGCGTCGTCAAAGGTTTTCTGCTGGATCTGAATAATGAGATTTTGTGTCAATCTTTCCACAGGAAAGAAAAACAAGGGGAAAGGGAACTAAAGGGAGCAAGAGATGAACAGTAAACATCACGTGATCATCCGTCATCCAAACACGGCCTTTTATATCTCTACTCAGTGCTCTTCAGCTTGAGCGGGACTTGCTCCACAGCCACAAACATATAGCTTTAGAAGACTGTGACAGAGTAACATCTGAGTATTTGACACCTTACATGACTCTTTCATTTGTGAGGGAGAGGGAAGAATAAAATGTCGCTGTTTAGCATGTGGTTCCCTGTAGTTTTCCCATTCCTCTGATGTTTCCCTCCAGCACATTCCTCTCTCTCTCTCTCTCTCTCCCCCTCCCCATCTATCAGCTGTGTAAGCCTCAGGCTAAAGGACAACAATCAGTAGAATCAAATCAAACACATCTATTTTATGACCGTTTTACTTACAAATTTGGTTTTGTAAAATTGTGTAATTTACAGGATTATATTACTAGTGGGGTATATAAGTAGTGTTTGGATGTCACCCTTCTCTTTTTTTGTATCATAGAATATAAAACTGAGGAGTGTTGTTTGAAATAAATGATTTGTTTCTTTTTCTATAAAAGGTCTAGTTTGTGTAAAAGTGAAAATACCCCAATACTGTTATTTTTTCCTTTTGACTTGACTGTTACTAACAGATTGAAGGGTGACAGGGGGTTTTAAGATTTAGACTGCATATTAGAGAGACTGTCCCCTCTTGAGCAAAACCTATTTTATAAGCAAGAAAGACGGTGAAGTTTTGTTACAGAGCTTTGTGTGTTTTATGTTGTGTGTTAACTAAAGGTAAGTTAGTGATGACCGTTCATTATTAAAGACACTTGAGCCCTGCAAATATTATGCAAACCCACATGTGTGTTTATGAACATGTAAAGAACAAGCCTTTTCTTCTCCTGGTCAGTGCGCTTGATAACTTTATTAAGCTTTATGCAATATAAAAAGAACCATACACTCGTATGTACACTGGCTCTTTAAGGGCAGTGGTAGATAAGTCCATAATTACAATGTGTTCATTCAAACAGCTTCACTGGGGTAATGATCATTGACTTTGCCCTTTAGCTGCTATACTTATACATGGGATTTCTACATCAATCCTTATATAATTTACATTTGAACATTTGAAGTGAAAATTTAAAAGACCAGAGGAAAGAGCATTTTGGGCAAAGTCATTTTTCTGGATTGGTGATGCTAATGATAGACTTGCTATTTTCAGATTTGCAGAAGGACAATATTCAGATTGTATGATTGATTTTCTTTAATACAGTTCAGAGAGAACTCTATTCCAGTGTGACACTTTCTTTAATGGTTTGCATCAGAGTTGGGGAGACTTTTTATAAGGTCTTTCACTGATTAAGACTGGTAGTGAACAGCCTACTTCAACATAGGCCATGTATCAGATAAGATATCAGGCAAGTTTTGACATTCATTAAAAAAAAATGGAAATCTGGTTTTAGCGTCTTTTGCAATGACACGAAAGTCATTTAGTCTGTCTTTACCGCACATTAAAAAGAAATCCAGAGCTGGTTTGGTTATACAAACACTATGAATGGAAATTTGATTATGAGGTAGAAACATGAAACCAAACCCAAGACGTTAGAGAGGCAAGTCTCTGCATCTTAAAATGATGCTAATGAATGAATAATCTCTCCTCCTGACCAGGTCTAATAGCAGACCGGAGTGCCACGATCTCTTTGGTTTAATGCTTTAAAGTCAGTAATTGCTGAAACTGGCCGCTTGTAAATAATGTAACAACATGAGCCCTAAAACATCCAACACATTTCTCCCTAATTCCAACCACATGTTCTCAAACACAATATAGTCGGAGATCATTCCTTCAGCCTTACATGCTGCGGTTTCATCAATTACAAACCTTGTATTTAAATACAAACTTGGCAAAACGATATTGCACCATGAGAAAACATGAAGTGGATATGTGCTAAATCAACATGTTTTACAGGGGGAAGTAAAAGCAATTTTCCATTTCTCAATTTACGGACAGTCCTTTGTGCCCCGATTTAAATAAAATGCTTGAAATTGAACATCTTATAAACAGATTAAATAAATTAGTCATCTCCTATTTTTTTTTTCCAAGTATATCACAAATTATAAATGGTTTCAACAGTTCTGCGTACAGACAACAATACATTTAATATTTAATCTGTAAAATTACATGAAGATCACCAACTTAATACAAGAGGAACACAAACATCCAGACATTAAATGCAGGGAAGAAATAATACTTTCAAGAGCATATATTCATCATATCTAAACATATTTACAGACCTCAGATGAAACCAGTGACATTTCTCAGCTCAGTATAGAGTGTCTCATCCCATTTAAAGTCTATAATGCCTATCCCAATCCATTGAGGAGATCCTTTTGAATTCTGACCTATACCAGAACCTCAAGAGGATCACACTAAGAGGATAATGATGACTAACTTCTCCCAGGCTGAACCACATGCCCTGAATGTGCCGCTATGAATGTAATGGACTACACAGCTGTTGTGGACAGCAACAGACATCCTTAATTTGGAAAGTGGAAGGTGCAGGTAGGCTATAGACGCTTTCAGCAGTGACAACATAAACAAACGGTACTGCGCATGTGCATTAATCTGGCCCAAACTTAACTTCCGGCAGACTTGCGGAGACAATCCATAACAAGTAAATAACCTAGTAACTGGTATTTCTTGCCAGTCAAAGAAAATAAATGTTACCTGGCCAAACTGAAATGTGACACTACCAGACCCGTTGAACAAAAATTGGTGACAAGATGTTTTTCTACCGACGTGTCTGATTTACCGCAGTGTTCAAAAAAACTGGCGAGCGAGACGGCGGGGTTTAAGGTTAATAACATAGAGCTAGGCTTACATGCTTGCTAACCTTTTTTAAGGTGGGTCTCCACATTGACCACATGTTGGATGGATCTGTGCAGCGCTGTTTACGATACTAACCATTCAATGAATACACCAACTGGTCCGCTGTCAATCTGTTTGCGAGAGAGAGAGAGAGAGAGAGCGTGCGAATATGCGCTGCACGCAACTGCAGTCAATTACAACTTTTCCCATCTTAAATTGTTAAAACACGGAAATCAATATGTGGCGGTCAACGCTGATAATGTGGTGGGCTGCCACTAATAAATGTATGGGAAACACTGTACCGGTTATCACTTAGATAAACATAGGCTATTTTAATACCGCCGTCTCCCTCATAGGAAACCTTGACATTTTTGTTTTTAAAAATTGCGTTTGCTCCCTACTAGGTCAGGTTGCACCCCACAGCTCAACAACCTGCTCATCACCTTAACTTTCACTGCATTTGTAGTGAATGCCATATTATCCAGTAAACACTAAACGAACAGAACGGAAGTTAACTTTGGGCCAGCTCATCACCATGGCAACGCGTCTGATGAAAGCGTCTATAGGAAATTGAATCTCACTTTGGAGCACCAGGCGTTCAGGGATACTCAAACATGAAGCTTTTCCATTTGTTATTTGTCTTTGGCTGTGATCCTCTGTATGATGTTTTCAGAGAATCTGCAAAAACAGTTTTAACACTAACCAAAAGGACTTGATTGGTACCATTTGTGCTGTACCGGGAATATAAACGAATCAATAAATTCCCTTACTTCACCAAGTCTCTTCTGGTTTATATTGCTGGGATTCTTCCTCTTCACTGTTGGAAATAATGAGACATCTAATTTAAAAGTAATTCGCAGCCTGATCTTCATGTAACTGTAGTGCAGAGTTCAGTAGTCTTAGCAATGATCCGATTACTGAAAAAGTCTTGATTTCTTCAGTGATTCAGCGTATCGTCTATCGCTCCATAATCTTCTTGTAATTCCTTAATATATTACGTTTTGGTTATAATGCACTGTTTAGCATTATGGGACGACGTTGCCTCTCAATGTACTGTGCAATACCTTCGGAAGCTTCAAAGTTATGGGGGTCAGAAGAGCCAGGACAGCCTTTATACTCTCCATATCACACCCTCCATCTCTGCTGGCTGCTTCTTTCCTCAGTTCATCTGGTGCCGATGTTCTTATACTGGCACATGAGCAGGTTTTTGAAGGTCTTTTTGAAGGTGGCGTTACAGAGTGCATAGCAAGCGGGGTTGATGGTGCTGTTGACGTAGCAGAGCCAGTAGCCAATGGCCCAGACTGTGTCTGGAACGCACGAATGGCAGAACGTGCTGATTAAGACCATCACGTTGTATGGCGTCCACGTGATGATGAAGGCCAGCAGGATGGCGAAGATAGTTTTTGTCACTTTCTTCTCTCGCGCCGCCATCTGCCTTTTCCTCTTCACCTGGCTGCGGGCGATGCTGGCAAACTTGCGCGCCACCGTGCGGGGACGGTTGACGGGGATGGAGCGCCTCTCGCCGCTACTGTTGGGTGGGACGATCTCGATGGCCGTGATGCACTCGTCTCCTGCCTGTTTGGTGACTATCTTGATCTTGGACCATTTGGATTGAGGGTTGATTTTAGGTGCGGCCGTCGACGCGGGTGTCAGGCCGGCATCTGAAGTCACCTCACTGTTCGCTCGCTCTTTGGGCTCTTTGTGCGCTATGCTGGCCGTGCTGGACTCGTTTGAGCTCTCCTTCTCCGGTTGCACGCACGAGTCAGCTTTGGCCGATACCACAGACTCGTCTAGTTTGCCGTTCTTCACAGTGTCTACTGTAGAACAGGTATCCAGGCTGGGCTTCGGAGGGGACTGGTTGTTGTTGTCCTGCTTCGAGATGTGACTCTTGAGCAGGCCGCTAGACTTCTGGCCTTTCTTCTCTTTCTTAGCCTCGGGCTTTTGCTTGGACACACGGCTGCGGCTGGCCAAAGAGATGTGCACATAAAGCACGGTCATGATGACCACCGGCAGGTAGAACGCAGCAATGGCCGTGCCGAACGTGACCGCTGGGTTGGAGAGGAACTGGATATAACATTCGCCAGGCTCTACGGTTCGTTCTCCGACGATGAACTGCCAAAACAGGATAGCGGGAGCCCACAGGATGAAAGACATGATCCAGGCAGTGGCAATCATGAGGCCAGCCATCTTGGTGGTTCTGCGTGTAGGATAACTCAAGGGTTTGGTCACACAGAAGTATCGGTCAAAGCTGATGATTAGCAGGTTCATGACGGAAGCGTTGCTGACCACATAATCCAGCGCGAGCCACAGGTCACACACGACTGGGCCAAGCGGCCAGTAGCCCTTGATGATGTAGACGGTGTAAAGGTTCATGGAGAACACGCCGATGATGAGATCTGCACAGGCCAGACTGAAAAGGAAGTAGTTGTTGACGGTCTGTAGGTGTCGATTAACCTTGATTGAGAGCATGACGAGGATGTTGCCCACGACGGTGACAAAACTGAGGGATCCAGTAACCAGTGCGATGAAGACCATCTCCACCGCCTTGTAAGGGCTCTCGCCGCCCGCCGTATCCGCTGCACACGAGCCATTGGCGCTGCCGCTGTCACAGTTGGCATCACTGGACACGTTGTTCAATGAGCCTGAAATACACACAACACAGATACAATGCTATAAATTACAAAAATGCAGATATCAGAATGCACGCAATCATTGAACATAACCCCAGGCTGATATAAATACTGGTAGAGTGATTGCATATAGGGAAACAGAATGACATTCATTAAGATGCAGAGCATTCATTTCCATCATGAAATATAAATATGCTGTTTATATTAAAGGCAAAGTAGTATGTGACCCAGCTGACAAGAACTAATTTAACAACTCTCAAAAAACACTTCATGATGAAACATAAAGCCCTATACACCTCAGACTAATGTCCAGTGTTGTTATTCGTTGTAGGGCTTACAGTTTTGCAGGATTGTGAAGTCTGGATTCATGTAACATAAATTCAAACATTTCCTTGAACTCATTTCCTTCCTCAAACACTCATCTTGAACAATATAATTACAGTGTGTAATTATCTATTATCTTACCCATTGGCACTAACCAATGAGTGCACTGGTCAATAGGGTAAATGAAAAAAAAAAAAAAATCTACTGTTATATACGCTATTTGTTAACATATATAAAATGTTACCAACCACGCAAAATTATTTTTTGCTATTATTAAATACAAACCAGCATAATTTATTCAATTTGTTAATGAAATAACTAACATGAAATAATGTAATAATCTGCAATATACATATAATATAATTCTACATACACTGTAAAAATGAATATGCTTTATCTAATCAAAAAAACTGTGGCAACAAATTACAAGCAATATTATTAAATAAATTTAACAAATTAGAATTGAGTA